TTCTGGAAGTTTCAACCAGTGAAAAAGCAACAAAGAGAAGAGGCATGAGGATTGGGAAGGAAGAACTTTAAATGTCATTTGTGTATGACATCATTGTGGGCATGGAAAATTCCAAAAAGATCAAACCATTTGAATTCATTAGTTGATTTAAGCAAGGTTTACTAAGTTCAATATAAAAACTTTTCATTTTTCATATACAACCAACAATTATAAAATGAAACTTAAAATATTACCATTTGTAATACCGTTGAAAATACTGGAAACAACAGAAGATAAGTTGGAAGGCTATGCCATATTCATGATAGGAAGACAATATTGAAAGATGTCAGTTCTACAAAATCAATCTATATTGGCCCTGAAATTCTCAGCCAGGTTTATTTTTGGAAATTAAGCTGATTTCTATAATTTATATGGAAATTTAGAGACAGAATAAGGCAGCATTGAAGAATGAGGCTGTGATCTTGAATATCAGATCTGTTAAAAAGCTGGATAAGACAATGTGGTATTAGTAAAAGGATTTAGAGAAAAGAATCAAAATCAAGAGTCCAGAAACGGATTTTTTTTTTAAAAGAACTGTTGCTTGATGGAGAGGACAGTCTTTTCAATAAATGGTGCTCAGTTAACTGGATATCTGTATGGAACAAACAATCTTGACCCATCTCACACCACATGCAAAAATTACTTACAGATTGTAAATCTAAATGGGAAAGGTAAATAGTAGAGCTATTAGTTTTAAAAACACAGGAGAATATCTTCATGATCTTAAAATATGCATACATTTGTTAAATGGTCGGACACACAAGCACTCACCATGAAGGAAATGAATGATGAATTCTACTACATTAAAATTTTAAGATATTTTCCTCATCAAAAGACATCATTAAAAGTGAAAAGGCAACCAACAGAGAGTAGAATATTTTTATAATACACAGATCTGATGAAGGTCTTAAGTGCACAATGTGTAATTGACTACTAATCAAAAAAGTTCAACAAAAAAGGCAGAAGACTTTGGCAATTCCTACGAGCATTAAAATGGCCAATAAAAGCTATTTTAAAAGGAATGTGAAGTGGAACAACCTTGGAAAATTTTCTTGTTGGTATCTAGTAAAGCTGAGCCTTTGACCAGAATTTAATTCCTTGATATATACCCACCAGTAATGTATCTGTTTACCAAGACTAGGTATTAGAATGTTTACAAAACCCTTTGTTTTCTCTTCCCACCACCTCCCCATCCTTCCACATACCCACCCACTCACATATTTATGCTGAATCTAATTCTATTATACTTCACATATGTGTTTGCATACATTTCCTAAGAACAAGGACATCCTTTTATGTAACCACAGTCCAGTGACTGAATTCAGGAAATTTAACATAATAGAATATTTTGATTTAATATGCAAAACATTTTTTAATCTCATCAAGTGGTCGTAATGTCCTTTAAAGCATTGTTTTTCCTGATAGGTAGTCCAATCCAGGATCCTGCACTTAGTTGTTCTTTTCATCTCCTTTAACCTGGAAGAGTTCATTCTTTGTGTTTTATGACAGTGGGTATATTTGAAGAACTCAGGAGTATAGAATGCCCATCAATATGGATTTGTATAAATTTTTCCCGTATTGAGGTTATGCATCTTTGGCAAGAAAACCCCAGAAGTGATGTCATGTCTTCTGCATCATATTAGAATCTACATATGTATGTTTATCCCCTTATTGGTGAATAATAATAGCTTTGAGTAGTTGATTAAGATAGTGTCCACTATGTTTCTCCACTACTACCATTTTCCTTTTGTAATAAGGAACGTGTGGGGAAATACTTTAATACCATAATCTATTCTCCAAATTTACAAAATGTTTTTGGTATCCATTGAAGATTCTTGCCTGAATTACAGAAATGATTGCAAAATGATTTTTCTTTCATTCCCAGCACATTTGTTAGTTGGCATTTACTGTAAGAGCTTTCTTTTATCATTTAAGAATATGTATTATTGGTATGAATTAATTTTTTTTTAATTGAAAGTATTACAATCCATTTCTGTGCTCTATTTAACCAATGAGTACCCTGTCAAACTGACTTCTGTACATTTCTTTTCTTGAGTGCTTGCTTCTGGTACAGTACGATGTTCCAGATTTTATGTTTTGTAACCCAATCTTAGAATCAGCCATTTCTCCAAGTAGACATGTTTCTTTTCAAGGAGAATGATATTTGGAAATAACGTTAGATGTGCTTATTGTTACTGGGGTGGCATTGCTTCTAGGGCCTTTTAGGAGACAAAGATAGGAAGTAAATTCACACATCGTGAATGCACACTAACACCTCCAATTGCAATCTAACATTACAGAATTTTTCCTTGTCTTCCTCACTTCATGTTTATATCTCTTCTCCTTGGGGCACCTGGGTGGCTTAGTCTGCTAAGCGTCCAACTTCAGCTCAGGTCATGATCTCACGGTTCGTGAGTTTGGGCCCCTCATAAAGCTCACACATTAAAAAAATCTTTTTATATCTCTCTTCTCCCACAGTGAGGATCTCAGTATATTACTCATTTGCTTAATCTGACAGTATACACATTATATTTTCAGAATTGCTACACCCATACCCTCACAACAAAAGTAGAATATTCTTTTGCAGCCTTTTATCTTTAGACTGAAGTATTTTTTTTTTTAATGTTTATTTTTGACAGAGAGAGAGACAGAGCATGAGCAGGGAGGGGCAGAGAGAGGGAGACACAGAATCCAAAGCAGGCTCCAGGCTCCGAGCTGTCAGCACAGAGCCCGGCACGGGGCTTGAACCCACGAGCTGTGAGATCATGACCTGAGCCGAAGTCAGATGCTCAACCGACTGAGCCACCCAGGTGCCCCTAGACTGAAGTATTTAATCAAAGTATTGTATTCAAGAGTTATGTATATCCCTCTTTTCATTCTGTGTGATTAATCATTTGAAATAGAATTTGGGTTGTTACTTATATTCAATTTTAGGGTTTTATCTGTCATTTATTTAATTTTACTTTTTGTATATGTTAGGATTTAAAGAGTTCCAAAGTCAAAACTCTACAGAATTCTCTTTCAACTCATTTCCACCCATCCCTACAGGAAGTCAGTTTCATTATTTCTGATTATTCTCTCTCTCTCTCTCTCCCTCCCTCTCCCTCTCTCCCTCTCTCCATCTCTTTCTCCCTCTCTCCCTCTCTCCTTCTCTTCCCGTCTCTGTCTCTCCACACACATACACACACAATCTAGTGTGTATATATATGTATGCATGCATGCATATTTTTTAAATTGGAACTGAAATTTATTGAAATTAATTGAAAGTACTGAAAAAACATTCTAGGAATCAAGGGGGCATCTACCCTGAGAGGCCACTTTAGCGGGGGCCAGATGGTCTGTTCCTCTTGTCCCTGAATAGAATGACTTAATAAAGTACAGTAATACTTCCCTGAGCATGAGTTCCCATTGACACAAAAATTTGGTTTACACAGAATTCTTCCCACATGATATGAGAATCAGCACCTGATATCCCAGATGGTAGTATTTAAAAAAAGAAGGGGCCCCTAGGGAGGGGGGGTTGTGCTGAGAGCTCACAGCCTAGAGCCTGCTTTGGATTCTGTGTCTCCCTCTCTCTCTGCCCCTCCTCCACTTGCACTCTGCTCTCTCTGTCTCTCAAAAACAATAAGATATTAAAAAATTTGTTTTAATAAAAAAAATAACGAGTTTGGGAAGTTCGAAGCAGAAAAAGCAAACGAAGAATATAGGTGCGGCCCCACCTCCAACATTGAAGTGTGGGGAAGAGAAAACCTGAATGCAGAACTTCCCTCCTGTTCCGGTTAAGTAGGCATAATGGTAAGAAGGTGAACTTGGGAATCAGCAAATCATAAAACATCCAAGTTCTAAAAGTTGAAAGGCATTAAACATTTGGTGGTCCAGACAGAAGGGGTTTTTAAAAAGTACATTTTAGCTGTCCCAGAACTCTTTAAACAGCTATTGACAGTTTGGAAAAGGGAAAATTCTGAAAGTTTGAAAACCGATTGAATAGTGCTTATTATTGGGGATTTAAAATTACCATTGGTAGGGGCGCCTGGGTGGCTCAGTCAGTTAAGTATCTGACTTCGGCTCAGGTCATGATCTCACAGTTTGTGGGTTCAAACCCTGCATTGGGCTCTGTTCTGACAGCTCAGAGCCTGGAGCCTGGTTCAGATTCTGTGTCTCCCTCTCTCTTTGCCCCTCCCCTGCTTGTGCTCTGTCTCTGTCTCTCAAACGTTAAAAAAAAATTACCATTGGTACAATGCTATTGATGGTGTGTATTTCATGTGTAATTATTTCATACATTATTTTGGTGGCTATGAAAAATATCTATGAGGACTTTTGCCATCGGGGTTCTTGTCTTTTTTTTGTCTAACAGCTCTAAGTTTTCCAACTATAGATTTTCTTATCATGGAGTTTTAGGATGAAAACCTGTTGCATAGCAGGCATTTTTCCTTTAAGGAAACTAGCTTTCTCATTTCACAGCCACACCTTATTCAGCGGAGTGTTCACATAGGCTCACTGAGAAGACTTTCTAACTCCATCTTCAAATTCAAATATACTGAAGTTTGAATAATCTGCATCAGTGCCTGCATAAACTGTTACTGTCCAGAGTTGAATATGAGGAAATTCTTTTGAAGCCTTGGTCGAAAAATTCTACTGATGCTAGAAGTAACCAATTGTACTCTACAATTTGGTTGTATTTCAAACACAAGAAAGTGGTATTGTGGAATGTAACATTATAACATATATTAAAATAGTAATATATAAACAACAGAAAATATCTTTTATTCTTGCGCATGACTTCAAACGTTGACATAGGTTTCACCATGATAGAAGTGTACATCTTATATGAGATTCTACTTGGAAATTTTGGTCATTAGTTTGTAATTTAACAATCTATTATGGAAACAAAAATGTACATCCTTCTTTAAGAAGATATTGCAACTTTCAGTTTGAAAGAGAATCACACATGAAAACAAAGATAATTCCTATAGTAGTTTAATCCATACTTTATATTAAACCTATTATCTAACAGTTCAAGTGTCTACTATTTTGAGGTATCATAATTTGACGTTAAATTCTGTATTTAACACAAAAGTACCGTAATATTTACTAACTTTCATTGTATTTGGTAAGAATTAAAACCTCACATTTTATTGTTTTTAGAATTTTCTAAGACACAGTAAATCTGAGAAAAATAAATAAATAGCCGATTAATGCCCACTAAATTTCTCTGTCATATCAAACAGATTTTTTTCATTGGCAAACTAATATTGCCAAACTAAACTTTGGCAAAACTAATATTGCCATTTTACGACTTTTAGATATTTCATAAAGTTTGTAGAGCATAAAGAAAATTAAAATGGCTCAGATCTGTTTCTAATTTACCAAGCAATGATTCTATCAGATTCTCCTACACTGAACATTCCACTCCATTGTAGAATTTTCTGTATGCCTACTTCGTTGTATATTGACATACATGTAAGAAGCGTGACTCGTCAAGGTTTTGAGAAAAAAACTTCTCCAAGAAGTCCTACAAAGACAAGCAATTCTGAATCTCTCACTTGCACTATACTTTCCCAGTGAAGGTGAACATACCAGCTTCTCCTTTAGCTCTAAAACCACCAGTCATGTTTGTTTTTATGTGGTTTGTGCAATTCGTACAGAAGGATGATTAATTCCTATTGGCAATCTTTAAAATTCCAAGCTCACAGAGAAATTTCAGCAATTTCAGCATCTTCTTTGGATACTTTTTACCTACGTGTTTATTTTATAAGTGATGCTTTGATAGAAGTAGTAGTACAAAATCAAGCTTCTTAGAAAAATTTTAGTTTGGCTAAACTTAATGTAATTCTTTCCCCCCAAAAAGATACATCTTAATATGTTCTGCTAATATTTACCTAAAGTTAGAGTTTTTCTTAGACATAGTAATTATTTAAAGATCTATAATAATTTCTGCAATTAATAGCCAAATATTTTTGCCTAAAGGGTAAGTAGAATTTCAAATGCTTATGCTATTATTGTATACTAATAACACTGTGTGCTTTCTGAAATGCTTTGTGTATGCTTCCTCAAGATCTTCAAACTACCTCAGAAATAGAGTGCCAGATAGTCACTTATGTAAAAATTGTTTAATATTTACTAGGTTATTACAGAGCAGTTTGCATTTTAATTCTTATTACATTACATTTAGCATTAAGACAACAGTGGGTCAAGTCTGGCTTTTGTTGTTGAAGGTTCACTGGAGTAGAGTAATCACAACATGGTCATCTCGGCCTTGCCATAACATCTCTCCTTCGAAGTCAACCAGTCCATGCTTCCTGGCACGCATAAGAATGCCCACTACTTTATCTGAAATACGAACATATCTGTCAAAGAGGTCTCCAAAAGTAACCTGAATCTTGCCATCTCGTCTGTGCTGGGCCATCGTGCGGATGATGAAGCACATGTCCATGATCTCTCGGTAGATGTGCTCCTCAGCTCGCTTGGCCCTTTCTGCAGTTTTGGTTCCCTCCTTGGGATGGCCATAGCCTTCATCTCCCTTGTGCAGGCGGGTGGACATGGCCAGCTCGTAATCAAATTCCTCACTGAAAGGATTGAGCTTCTGTGTCTGTATGTGTTCGTCAGCCCATTGTTGCCATCTCCCTTTCAGGTTGTCCACTTGGCTGTATTTCCGCTGGGCCTTGCAGCTGAGTTTCTCTGTAAATCTATTTGCCCTAAAAGGTAGAGAGGGTGAAGGATCAAGACACTGATATTTAACATCCAAGTGTTGTTTTCTCTTTGTACTTCCTACCCATACGCATCTTAACGTAAGTCTAATTTTTTCACTATAAACAAAATATAATCACAGTACAAAAAATTAGAAATGAAGAAAAATTAGAACGGTCACACCTTTGTTCTTTATTTTTTTTTTTTCAAGGATAGTTGACAACCACCATTGTTCTTATTTTGGTATACCATAAAAAGTATTAAACTCTATTTCAAGGAAAAAGCTTCCTTACACAAATATAATGTAAATATGTGTGTCTTAACGTTGCATGTTAGACATTTTAGAACTGGAATCATATGAATATATTAAGAGGAACCACTTTGTATAGGAATTCAGGAACCAGTTATTTTCCCAAAACAAGGATTATTATACATATAGCACACATGTATTGTACTACTTACTTATGTATATATGTTCATATATGGATTTTTAGGAAAGTGTATTCTAGTATCAATGATGTGCCACGAATTTTGGAATATCAAGTTGTATAGGTAGAAGACAATAGGTAGCAATTGTAACATTTATTGAATACTTGATGCTGGCATTCTTCCAAACACTTTTTATTAACATTCCTATGATCATTCTAGGAGATTGGTACTACTAATCTCTCTTCACAGATGAGGAAACTGAGGTCAGAGGGGTTAAGTAACTTGCTTAAAGACACAAAACTATTAAGTGATAGTGCTGGGATTTGAACCAGGTCTGTGTGTCACTACTGTGAAACACTGCCCTAAACCAGTGGCAAAGGCAGTATTCAAATACCAACTGTCTGAGTCTAAAGTCAATATCCTTCCCACCGTGCAGTGATGGTACTCATCATGGGGGGTACAGTGTCTAATAAGTAGATGATTTATGTTTCAGATGTGTGTGTCTTTTCCTTGCAATTTGGAATGCACTTTCTTGTTATTAAAAAACAGCATTGGAAAGCGTAGACCAGTAGTATCGTGAAGGTGCAGGCCCAATTTTAAAATAGGTAGTTTATCTTTAAAGGATGTCTCTGTCTTTTCTGTATCTCCAGTCTCCTAGACTCTTTTCTCCTAGGACTCTTTGTCTTCACAAGGAAACTCTCGGACTGTCTAAAAGTCAGAGATTTGTATTCCTCATTGTCACGAGTGACCCGCCCTTCCTTCTCTCCCCAAGTGCCCTCATGTCTGGAAGCATGGGGATTGGTGCTGTAGAGCCTCACTGAAGTTGCTGGCATGAACCACAGGCCTGAGCTAAGTGGCCCCTCCTATCCAAGCTCTCACAACTCTCTCTTCAAAACCCAGCTACAGGTCAGATGTGAGTATTCCTCACTGTCCAATCTCACTCACTTCCTGAAATCTGGTTATCCCAGTGCAGGAAACTCCCAGATGTGGGTAGGGAGACACAGGTTACTTCTAGCAGCATAGTTTTCAAGAGAGGAATAACAACCACTAGATGGCAAACTTTCACTAATTCCCATGCTTTGTGTGTTCAAAACTATGTTTGCTGCATTCAGTTTCTTTATTAAAACAGAGCCAAAACTAGGGATATGCTGATACGTATAACACTGTTATTCTTTATAGCCGTGTGGACAAAAGTATATGACAAAGTTAATCTGGCAAAAGCACATAAAAACAGTATACACAAAGTATATAACAAAGTTAATCAGGAAAAAGCACACAAAAACTGTATACACAATTATTGCAATTTTTAAAAATCACATATGTGTGGAAAAGTGCTAGGAATTATACCACACTGAAATGGAATGGATTTCCCTCAGCCCCCTGGTCCTCACCATCACCTGCCTCTCCATAGACTATCCCTATTCAGAGTGTGGACTGCTGGATCTTGTTATCAAATGAGAGCAAACATTAGAACCTCCCCTTAGAACCACGGCAATCCATGACAGGCATAGTCTTCAATAACAAGCCCAAAGCCGTCCTAACATATATAACCAAAGCTCACACCTGATTTCAGACTGGGTCATCCTGCTAGAGAAGAGACTTGATACGTCTCAGAAGAAAGTGAAAAGAGTAGCATCATTTGTTAACTCACACAAATGTTTCTCAAGCATCAACTGTACTTCTGTCCTATATAAGAAAATGTAATACAGTAGTCCACCCCTTATTCATGGTTTCAGTTACCCGCGGGCAACCCCAGTCTGGGAGCACAGGAGCTTCCTTCTAATGAGTCATCGGAAGGTTAGCAGTAGCCTAACACTACATCACGGTGCCATCATTCACCTCATTTTGTCATCTCATGTAGTCACAAAAGAGTGAATACGGAACAGGAAGATATTTTGAGAGAGAGACCACATTCACATAACTTTTATTATACTACATGGTTAGAATTGTTCTATTGTGGTTAATGTTTTTACTGTGCTTAATTTTGTAAATTAAGCTTTATCATAGATATGTACGTATAGGGAAAAAAAACATAGTGTATATAAGTACTTTCTGCAGTTTTCAGTATCCACTAGAGGTCTTAGAATGTATCCCCCACACGTAAGGAGGGGACTCCTGTACATCTTCCCTGTCAGGTGCTTTTGGGCACTTCGGCATCCTTTATTAAAGTAGCTATGACACCTGGTGTGTGTCAGATATTGTTTTAGGTACTCACTGGATATTCAATAATGAAAAAAAAAAGACAATAAATAATCACTGAAAGATATTCATGAAAATAATGAGACTAATACAAATTTGAGTATATGGTAAAATTCTAACTATGTTAAATGTGTACACATCAAGATGAAGATATCATTAGCATGTGCATAATTGAAAATAACTGTTAGTATTCAGATCCAGGTTTTTTTTCATTTTTTAAAAAAATTATCTTTCATGTTGGTGTCATGTTGATTTTGTAATTTAAAGAAAGGGAAAAAAAGGAAAATACTCAAATTGGCATCCAAAGCTAACTTGTTCAAACTGTGTGTTATATGAGTCTCTGATTCCTTGATGTGGGTTTTTTTCCCCTCTAATTTTCAACTCTGTGTCTTTAGGGATAGGGTTGATGTTGGTAAGGTAATAAATCTCTGAGGAAGTGAAGCATTTATCTTCTAAAAAAGCACCTCCTAATTCTTAATGCCCATTTGTTACATTGTCAAATTGTAATTCCCAATAATAGAACAGAAGGAAAGCAAAGAAATTGGTCCATTAAGGAAGAATTAGAAAATAGGCAGGTTATAAAAGATGAAGTCCTAAGAGAAAATATACCTTAATGAGGTACCTTAACCTTAATTGTCTTTGTCTTATAAACGTTCTGTATTGTTATTGTATTTCCAATTTTAAAAGTTTTATTTTTTTTCAACGTTTATTTTTGGGGGGACAGAGAGAGACAGAGCATGAACGGGGGAGGGGCAGAGAGAGAGGGAGACACAGAATCGGAAACAGGCTCCAGGCTCTGAGCCATCAGCCCAGAGCCTGACACGGGGCTCGAACTCACGGACCGCGAGATCGTGACCTGGCTGAAGTCAGACGCTTAACCGACTGCGCCACCCAGGCGCCCCCGTATTTCCAATTTTAAAAAAGCCTGAAAGTATCATGTTCAAATCAGGATTAGAAAATGTTATACCTTGAATATCCTCTTGGTCAATGAACATAAGAAACAATATACTTGCTTATCCTGTTTTTGTTTTCAAGTAACAATGAGAATAATAGTTTAGATTGAGTGTCAGAAGTACAATCTAGTATAAATTTATAGAAAGCAAAGCAATATTCAAAGACTGACATCACACCCATATTTAGGATAGTAATATTTAAACTTGCCTTCTTAGTTTCATTCTTAGTAAACAAAGTTTCTTACAATCAACAAGTATTTCCCTGGTCCTATTATGTGCAAAAGTAACTAATTCTACTAGACATTCTAAGCATTCTCATTGGAAAGTGTACATTCTTTCACTGAAATAAATTCTGAAATTTATTTATCTGTCAGCTTTAAAAATGACATCAGTTCGAGGGTTCCTTTCTTCTGTGAATGGGATATTCAGCAATATAATGAGAATATAGGAACCAACTGTATCATAGGTTTTATCATTCTGGAGTAATAATTATATGGGTAAGTTATTAAATATGAATAAACCCCATGGGGAATAAAAGTCTTGAAAGGCATATTTCAAACTTAACCAAGTTCACTGACTAGAAACAATCTGGTAGGTGGCCTTCACCTGCATCACCAAATGATGCTTCAAAACGCCGCTGGGCTTGGAGGTGAAGTTTTCTGGTCTAAGTCTTGGATCTGCCTGAAGGAAGCGGAGATCTGCTCTCCTTGCCCCACTGCAGAGTGTGACTCTACTGCAGCCGAGGGGGCATCTCTCCTCTTAGCACAGCAACATTTCTCTGTCAGGAAAGCAAATAATTCCTTTCCGACTTCCCGGGAAAGTGTTGCCAAGAATTTGCTCCTCTGTGCATTGATTCGCTTACTCCTCTCCACAGGAAGTGTAGCCAGTTTGACTAAGGGAAGCATGCATTCACGGGGTCACATTTATCTCTTTCTGTCAGCAATCAGATTTGAGAGCCCGGCCTGTGATTCTTCTTGCAAATTGACAACTGTCCTCAGCATCCATAGACAGGGTTCCACGCTCTAGAATTGGGGTCGATAGCAGAAATTTCTAATAAAACCCTTCAATATAGTTGTACCCAAACCTTACACTTT